GACCATGGGATGCAATCCAATGCTGTCTATGGAGCTTGGCCAGCCCTGTTATTCTACCTTCACCCCTGTCCCGGAGGACCATTGTCCCTTGGGGCCACACCTACAGCAATCACGAGAAAAGTGCCCACTGTACACAAGGCAGGTGGCCAACGAGATTCCAGTGCTGCGTGGCTTATGCGCAAGGGACAGGGCTTCACAGGACATGGGGCTTTCAGCACTAAAACCAGGACAAGCACTAAAACCTGGGCAAGCTGGGTCAGTCAACTGGTTACCCTGGTGGGATGGCCACAGAGAGGGTGAACTGCAGTCCCACACTGTGCAGAGCCTGGGCAGGGGCAGGTAGGAATGTAGAGCCTCCTGCATAGCAAAAGCCCCTCCTGCTCTCAGCCCTTCATGACCGGGGCTGGGTCTTCACCATGACGTCAGCCCTGCCAGGTCTCAGCCTTGAGACAGGCAAGGGATGGAGCTGAGACTCTGCTGTCTCTGCTGTTTGCTAAAGTTGTTATTCTCTAAGCTGTGGAGCCTTCCCACTGGGCTCCCGTAGGCAGAGGTCAGCTGAGGACAGCTGATTAGCTTGCCCCTCCGGGCCTTTCTCTTGGTGACACAGCCTCTGGCTCAGAACAAAGGCCCCTCATTTGCCAGAGGCAGCAACAGTCAAGTGTAAGCATGCTGCCACCTGCTGGCTGCAGCGCTGTGATTGGGCAGTGAGCTTCCCAGAGCACCCTGGGCGGCCAGCCAAGCTGGGACCTGCTACACAGTACACACTGAAGGGCACAGGAAGGCTCTCCAGTGCTGGAGCTCTCAGGTCAGCAGTTCACACCTAGAACTCCTGCCAGCGTGGCCACTCTTGACCACCACACTATCCTTGGGGCTCAAGTGGCAGGTACACTGGAGCTGGCTATACTGGAGTCAATTATTAAATATTCAGGAATTTTACAAGCTGCACTGTCAGCTTGAAGTCAATAGTTGTGGGAGTATTTACACCATGGAAATTGAAAAATGCTCCAAATGAGAGCTTTCCCCAACTCCCAGCCCACCTGTCTGTACACTGCTGCAGAGCCCCATCAAACTTAGAACAGGCTGGGTGCAGCTCAGGCATACAGCACTCACTTAGCATGCACGAGGTCCTGGATTACCCACGTGCACATTCACAGGAGAGTGTGCATGCATGCACACACACACACACACACACACACACACATCTTGCAAATTGTGGGCAGGCAATGTGATTGCTTGCAGAGAAAATTCAAAGCACTACTGGACATGCTGTTGCAGCTAGTGAAATATAGGGGTTCGGATTGCAGCTCAAAGAATTGTTTAGCATTCAAGAGGCCCTGAGATGGATCTCCAGTGTGACAAAAACAAAAACTGAATAAAAGAAAAAAGCAACCTTCCAGTATTGTTACCCGAGAGAAAGCAAATGTCAGCCTGCTGGCAAGGATGATTTCCGGAAAAGCCAGTAGTTACGGAATTGATGTCACCAAGGAAGCAGAAATGTGTCTTGATAGGAGGGCATTCACATACATTTGGGTAAGACAGAGGTTACGAGGAACTTTTAGGTTACCTAAAAACCACACTACCTAAAAACCACACGTGCAGTTGAAACGCAGAAATTGGGGTAACAGCTCTTCTGTTCACTAACTGGATGCCACTGGGCAGTTGGCACTTGCTCCCAGGTTCCCAGTCTGCAGGCAGATGTAATGGTAGTGCTGCCTCATTCCATGGTTGTGAGGCGGCGTATTAGTACTTAGAACACCACCGGGCACGTGCTAAGTGCTCCTTCTATGTTAGGTACCATCGGTTGTTGATTAGAACCTTAACTTACACAGCGCTGCAACTGATGTTGCCATGACCTTGCTGAAACCAGTTTCACCCCTGGCTATCTTTTGCAGGAGTTGGGGGTAGGATTTTTTTCCTCTGCCCTCCCCAGCAGCTGAATTTTGAAGCTAGCCTCAAGCTTGGCTGTTTCATTTGTACTTGTCCCTGCAGTTAGTCATAGGACAAAGAACTCTTTAGAACATGGAAATAATCAGATAAAGAAGCATCCCGCATGTAAAAAAGCATTAAGAAGCTAAACCGTGAACCCCCGAAGGAGGAGTGAAAAGGATTCTTCTATAAATACGTCACTGCTCAGTTAAGATGTCATTATGTAAGTTCAGAGAGGTAGGGCTCAAATCTGATTCCAAGGCAAGATCTGAATTACCTCTGAGTTCACTGCACCTGATTCAGAGAAGGACTCTGTTAACAAGAGGTATCTAGGAAGTGGGGACAGAAAGCAGTGCTCCCCCGGGGGAGGAAACGCGGGGGTTAGAGGCAATGAGCTTTATCATTGTGAGAGAAGCCGGCAGGGCAGGCCAAGGCTGGAGAAGTTGCTGTGTAGCCGGATGGACTAGCTAATACCCACAACTGTTACCTCTCCTGGTCTATGCTCTCCTGCCTTTGGATGAATAACGTGGCTCCTGGAGTGCCGAAACATTGGGAGAAGACGTCTCATAGAAGAGAAACAGATATTTTAGAGCAAACTGGCACCGCACACCTTTGCATTTTGTTAAGTAGACTAAGATCCCATCAGGCTGCAAAAGACACAAAACATAAACAGTAGCATAAACAAAGTTGCATTTCTTTCTCTTCCCCGTCAATGAAATCCAGATGTCGGCAGCCCGGGACAGGTGTGGCAATCCGCTCTGGTGCTGGATCCTCAGGCTCCATCATTCTCAATGTGCAGTTTTTGCCTGGGGGTTCAAGACGGCCCCCTAACTCTAGTCATTGTCTGCCTTCTGGACGGCAGCAAGACACTACTTCCCGGAACTCTGACACTTTCGATGACAGTCACTGGCCAGATGTTATCAGGTGACCTTGCCTAGACACAACAAAGTTTAAAAAACTCTTTATGCCAAATAAGAGTACAAGGTATGTGTCCAAGTAAAAGTTAAGGGTTCTATTTTCAATGAAAGAGAAAAGACAGTGGGGGATAACACACAGTTTACCATAGTTGGCCCATTTCCCTGGTGTGTTCGCCTTCAGGGGCCTCCTAGACTACGACCGCCAGGATGAGCTATCTTAGGAGGCCTGCACAGGAAGGCGACTGGGTTGCACTCTGCCGCATGCTCTCTCGCTCTCTCGGGACGTCCCACATCCCCACATCCCAGCTGTCGTGGAACCCCACTTGGCCGCCTCCCAGGGCCTCTCCAAAGCTTCCCTCCTTCCCTCCTGCTCTCCCCACTCCACTTCAGGCCTCCATGCCCTATGACCTGGGTCACCGCAGTAACTCCTTGTGGCTCTCTCCACCTCTGCTGTGGTTCTGTCAGACTCTCCTGCGGAAAGATCGCCCCCCACCCCCGAGGTTCAAGACCAGCTGTGACACGTCCTCGAGCAGGATGCCGGTTCCTCCCCCAAGTCCCAGCTCCTCGGAATTCTGGACTGTGAACAGGCCTCTGCCTGAGTTCCTGAGATCAGCTCCCTCAGACACCTGACACTCTAGCCAGAAGGGGCCACGCGCCACTCCTTGTGTGTGACCTGCACTCCATTGTTCCTGTGCCTTTGTCCTTACCTCGGCACCTTTTCCTCCTTGGTCTCAGCCTCCTAACGCCATCTATATCTCACAAGTTCAGTATGAATATGTTTTCCTCTGGTAAGCTTTAGGTGCCTGGGATTTAGCTCAGTGGTGCCAACACCTGCCTCGTAAGCACAAGGACTGGAGTTAGATCCCCAGTACCACCCTGCCATCACCAAAAAGGCTGGAATGACTCCTGCCCTCTGGCAGGTTGTCACAGGAAAGACTTTATGTTTCTCTCAGCCTTGGTCTACAGATTTTCTGAATCCTTACTGACTTGCAGAGCGAAGCTAAGGCACCGTAGAAAAGAACCAGTTGGAAATAAGATATGAATTTGAGCAGTTCATGACATGACCCGCTGGGCCTGCTGGAATTCAGGAAGTTGGGTGACCTTTTACACCACTCAGAGCAAGCAAGTGATTTGAACACATGAGGCAGTGGATCCCCTTCTGGGCTTGTATTTAGGGTGCTGTGAGGGGTGACAGAGTGCTACTGGTAAGGATTATTGTCATGTCTTCCCCTTTTTTTAAAATCAGAGCAGCCATAACATTAAAGCTTGTGGGAGGGGTGTGCTTAAAAGGAAACATTGGGCCAGGGATTTAGCTCAGTGGTGCTGTTGCCTGCCTTGCAAGAGCAAGGTTCTGAGTTCAAACTCCAGTACCAATCAATCAATCAATGAATGGAAACATTGAATTATCCCAACAAACTTCATTTTTCAGGTAAAAAAACTCCAGGCTCAGAGAAGTGAGGTCACACACCAAGGCCACACAGCCAGAGTGCAGGGTGGGGCTTAGGCTTGTTCCCTTTTCTACTCCATGTTTCAGCTGTCCAGGGTGAAGATGCCATCGGTCACCAAGGTTACGTCTAGTCTTGAGAAATAGGTCTTAAAGACTGCACATAGATATGCCAGCTACTGATTTTTTTTTTAATTTTATGTTCACTTTCCTAAGACCACGTTTAACAACCGAAGGAGAAAGGCATGCTCTGTTTTCAAGGTTCACACTCCATGTGGCTTGCCTTCGGTGACTTAGACTCTCTCTTTCTCTGTTCATTATCACTTTTCCTGAGGAGATAGCAAAATGGCTCATCTCCTTTTCTGTTAGGACTCAGAAGTTCCTCTCAGCTCTCCCATTCTCTGCTTCATCATAGGCTAGACTCGATCGGAACAGACAAGACCAAGGGCTGTTGAAAGATCGGGTGTTTGCGGACTACAAGCAGGTCATTCAGTTGATCCCATTCATCATTCGCCTGGACTTTCAAGTCGCAAGGTTAAGGCCTGGGGCGAAATGTTGATGTTGGAAGGGAACATTAAGCACCAAGCTGTGCCGAATTTGTGTTCATTCCCATCCACTTTCACCTCCCTTCCCGGGTGAAGGTTATGCCTACAGCTCAATTCTCTAGTGACTCACTCCAGGAAAAGGACATGTGACAAGGACCTGGCTTTCATGGGACTGCTTGCCAGGAGTGCCGGGACAGAGAGGGCATTGTTCAGAGAAGATTCAGGAAGCCAAACATCCGGAGACCAGCGAGCATGGTCCACTCACCCCATGAGCTGGAAGAGAACATATTTTTTCCCCACTGATCAGTCTGTATATTTACTTCTGAAGGGCACTCGGAGCACTTCTGGAATATTTATTCCCTTCGGTCTCAGTGGCAGCAATACTGATGGGCCAGGAAGGTGAGAGGGGACTGCTCTTCCTGGGGGTGCTTTATCTGCTCTCTACCTTCCCAATCGTCCTTGAGCAAACGTTGTCCCCACACTCGTTTTACAGATGAGGCCATGTGAGCACCCAGAAATGACGTTCACCCAGGCCATAATCCTACTAAGCAGCAGACCCAAGATTCACTCTGGGTCTACCTTGATGGTGAAATGTATTCCAATGGCAGAGCAGTCCCTCTCTCTGCCAGTGCCCAGGCTTCCTACGAGACCGGCACTATGTAGTGGGAGCAGTTGCTGAATGTGTGTCTCTGAGAGCACTGCTGCACCCAAATGCATCTCTGTTCTGGTATCTTTCTCTCCATCGATCTGTTCTTCAGTACCCACACAAATTGTGCCTTCCCCATGAAGATTTTCTGATTGGCTAGTTCTGAGGGATTCTCTCTGTCTCTCTCTGTCCGACCCCCCCCCCCCATAATCCTTTCTGCTTCATCCCTGTCTTGGGCCCTCTACTTTTTTTTATCTTTTGGCACAGGGTCTCACCATGTTGAACAGACTGGCTTTGAACTTGCCATCTGCCCATCTCAGCCTCCTGAGTAGCTGGGATCACAGCCATGTGCCTCCAGGCCCACCTGTGACTTAGTCCTTAAATAGAATATAGTTTATCTCGTATAAACCAAGTGTGTGTGTAAATCCCACCCTACTCCACATGCCTTGAGGACATGGACAATGCAACTGTTGAGCTCGATGAGTCTTAGCATAATGGAAAATACCAAGGTGTTGCTGGTAAACACTTGTTGAATGATTGACAGGCTAATTCTTAGGAGAGTCCCTGGGAATCGCTGGGATTCTGTGATGTAACAAAGCCCAGAAGACAGGACAGATAGTTTGTGTGCTTGGCCAACACTTACCTGTGGCCTCAGTGTCTAATCCTCTGCCCCGATCTTTCCAGGTGAGGACCCAGACACCGCTCCTGCAGCTTCAGGGAGATGGAGGGGGTTTCCAGCTCTGTGGGTCTCACCAGTTCCACTGACCTTGAGCTGTCACCTCAGTCACCAGTACCACCCAGCTCTTCTCTGGTGGCAATCTGTCTGCATCTTCTCCATCTCTTTACCTGTTCTCTCTGGGACTCTGCTGGTTTTCCTCACTCTGAACAGGTTGCCCCTTGCTCTCTGTGTGCTCTATCTATGGGGTCGGAGTTATCTCTGAAAAGAACGGTGATATCAGAGTGGCGGGCTGGGCGTGGTGTGTCTGCTGGCACAAGGTGCCCGGGGCATTTGGGGCCTGCTCAGCACAGACCCCCACTTCGCTTGCTTCCCCTATCTGCCCGGGTTGCCCTCTGCTTCTCCTTCTGGCACACGAGAGGTGGGGAGAGAGCTCTTACTTGCATCCTGAGAGGCCTTGCCCTGAACCACACTCGGACGCCAGCCTGGGCCCTGTAGGTGATGAGTCTTCTTGTCCCTCCTGTCACCGCGATGTGGGTTCCAAAGGCACCGTCACTTCTCACCCTTATTCCTGAGGCCCAGCCCTTGAGGGTCACGTAGCAACTGATTGGTCAGCACTGAGCAGAGAGGCAGATGGATGGTAAATGACAGGCAGCCTTGGTCCCACTGTACGGAAGCCCACAACGTGTCCGCTCAGCCTGGTGCTGCCTCTAGAGTTGCATCTCCTGAAGCGCCGAAGAAGGCCTCTGGCCTGGACAGAGCACAGAGCAAGCGGGCGAGCCTAGTCACCTCCTGCACAAGATGAAGACAGAGACAAGTGAAGGACTCACCTGAGGTCAGCTGGGACGAAGCAGCAGCCTTGGGCTATGGCACCACCTCCGTCCTGCTTTGAGTCAGCCTGTGCTTTGCTCCTAAGATACCCAGGAATTCAGGCTGGCCTCTCTCCCGGTGAGTTCTAACTAGTGAGGCTGTATTAGGGCTGCTGGACTACAGCTAGCCAGATGCACATCCCTGAATTAACAACGCTGGGACCTGTGTGTGGCCCACAGCAGCATTTCCAGTACCAGCACTTGGGTGTGTGCTGAATTTGGGAGGTGCATTTAGGGCTTCTGTGCCCTGCCTTCCTTCCCTGAGCCCAGCCACTGACTTCGCTCTGCCGACCCCCAGGGGCCGCTCTGGGCGTCTTAACCACCCTGTTCCGGTTGAGTCTATTAGGCTATTGTTGCTTTTAGCAAACAGCTGATGCCTCATGGAAAATTTAGCACTTGCTTATATCCCTGTTCCATTTATCTTCTAGTGTGTACATGTGTCTTCTCCTTGATTAGCAGGGGCACTTCCTGGAAAACTAGATCTCTGTCACTTCGCGGTTTCACGTTTCCCTTCTGTTCCCAGAGTCAGAATCATATGACAGAACAATTGGTTGCTGTGGAAACGACTGTACACCCCAGACATCAGGCTGTGCCTGAGAGAAAGGAGGTGCTACGTTCATGGGGCTGGGGCCGCGGTGTGGCTGCGGGGATCCTGAGCCTTGCACCAGTGACCCACTTCGCTCAGCCTGTTTGGCGCATGTGCCCGGCTTCCCTCGCCCAGCTGTGTGTGTGTGTGTGTGTGTGACTTCACTTACCAACACCACTGCTAACCACCTCACCCATTTGGAAAGCCTCCCCTGGCTCCTCTGTCCAAGTCTAAATTAAAGGCTACCTCTTCAGTTTCAATGGTTAACCACGCCTGGCCAACCCCTTCTCCAGCCAAAACCCTCCTATTCCTCGTGAGTCCGTACTTCATCTGAGTCAAATCACTTGCTCACTTGCTTTGCTCCTCCTTGTTCTTATTTTTTTTTCTGTTATAGGCGGTACCCAGCCCTAGGATCACAGCGAGGCCCATAAACGCAGCTGGCTGATGCTCAGGGCAGTGGGTGGATCAGCCCCGGCCTGACCAGTGAGGTCCACCCTGTCCTCCTTCAAGAGAAATAATAAGCCCAGGGCAATGGTCAAACTGCACAGCTCTGGATCTAATTTTGGACGTTGGTAACCCAATGGAAGAAATAAAACACTAAAGCTTCAGTTGCCTAAAATGCCTTGATATAAGGGAAGGACTAGAAAACAGTACTTTGTTATTTTAAAGTGTTTATTTCTTAACCCCTATTGATGTTTCAAGTCCATCTTTAGTCTCAATTGCCTGTCACCCAGAAATGTGTTCACTGCCAGGGCGGGAGAGCCCCCCTGGGGTTCGTGGCAGGCAGGGCCCCTTCTGCATTCCCATAGGAAGCTGTGTGTAACCACCTTACCAATGGCAGGACTCACACTGAGGAGAAACTAAGCTCTTCCAGAGAGAGTTTTAGGGTAAGGCCAAGTTTCTGAACATGGGCTGTGGCTACTAGGTCAGCCATTTGTCAAGTGGGCTGTGTCCCTACAGCCAGTACAAGATTGGTGAGGAGCCCTAGCCCCTTTTACTGGCATCTGTTGTCCACCCAGGCCTCCGAGGCGGGAGTTAATTGATAGAGGTGCTCCTTGGGTGAGGAAGGGCTGAAGTCAGCCTGCCTTGGGGCTGGGGCAACACCAAGCGAGGCACCACCTGGAGCCAGTGTGGACATGTGGGCTGGGTGTGCAGGGCAGAAAGTGGCAAGGGTGAGAATTGACCCCAGCTCTCTGTGGGGCTCTGTCCATCGTCCATGAAGATGGCACTGCTGTTGGCCAGGGTGACAAGCCGTGGGTGCTCCTGGCATGGGACAGGCTGTGGAGAAGCTGTGGGCTTGTGTGTGTGTGTGTGTGTGTGTGTGTGTGTGTGTGTGTGTGCACATGTGCATGCACCTGCCTGGAAGGGAGACACCTGGAGATAGAGGCAGGCTTCTTTCCCCCTCCTCAGGGTACTCCAGTGAGGGGGTCCTGAAGCCTGAGGTGACACTGAGCAGGTGTCCTCACAAGGAAAAGCACCAAGCATGCACCACACTGGCCAGTGGAGGCCCAGGTGGGCTGCAGCCCCAGACGGGTCACCGTGTAGGAGCACACTTTGCACTTTCCCCCTCTGACTAGCACTCAGCCCTCAGGCCCTGGCTCCATGAAGCAGGGTTTGAATAGCAAAGTCTAAGGTTCTCTTTTGCTTTCTAGCCTCTCTGTAAAAGAGAAGTCTGCTGGCGTGTGTCCCGTGGAAACCGAGACCCTCGCTGCTTGTATAATTTAATACATACATATACACTTGATATGTATTTTAGCAGTTCCCAAGGTGTCAAAGGCCTTCCCTCCAAAACTGTCCATAGGAAAGGACAGAATTCGAATGCAGGCTTCGGTGCGACCACGAGATGCTATGAGATGTGAGTTGGCTGTTCTGGAGACCAAAACCCAGGTTGGTATCAGAGCTGATGGCCCCCACAGACACAGTGAGAACTCAGGACACTGTCCCCTCGGTTCCTGGCCAGATGCTTCGCCTTGTCTGAACACTACCACGTGAGCTCTTCCCGGAGGAGTGGGGAGAAAGCTCAACTAGCAGTGCACACAGCCAGCCCGAGGCTGAGGAGCTCTGACAGCCCGTTGCTGTCTTCCTCAGCTAGCGATGCCCCATTACAGGAGAAGCGCTGTGAGAACCCAAAGCCCACGGCGCCGGCGGCAGAACGTCTTCCTCGGGCTCCTCCCGACCCATGTCCTGGTGCCATCCAGGGGCCTCCTTCACAGCACTCCGAGGAAGACCAGGCGGCTTCCCGGGGACGGAGGGAGAGCAGCAAGAAGGAAAGTTCTGCAACTTCTAAATCAGGTCTGGCTGGAGGTGGAGGTAACTGCATTAGGGGAAAGATTGAAAGGTTAATACGAAACCAGCAGACACTGAAAGAGAACAATTAGGGAGGTTAAGGGGCTTAATATTAGATTAATGGCTGCTGGAGGATAAAGTTCACAGCTTCCAGGAAAGAAGTCTGACTCAGAGAAATCTTTTTAGCTGATGGCTCTGGGTCTGGTTTTGTTGATACTATTTTGTTCTTGGTAAGTGAGAAAAAAATTATCGTTCGTTGCCAAAAAATGCATTTCCTCTTCTCCATCTCTTCTGTTCTCCTCCTATGGGAGAATGTCCGATTTTCCTCAGGTGCTGGAATGAGTTTTATTCCACCTGCCAGGAGGCCTCCTCCCCCGTACACCTTTCTACCTCCAGGGCTCTCCCTCAGTGAGCATTTTTGTCAACATTGCTGGTATTGTTGGGATAGTTCGGACCCCCACATGGTTTCACAGGTGTGTGGTTCTGTGAGATATTTTGAGACAACAGGAGTTAACCCACCCATAGGGAGTCCACATGGGTAAGCTTAGCTGGCTGAGGAGATTGAGGAAGACTGGGAATTTCCCCACAGTTCCCAAACCCAGTGACTCAGCCACTTCTCCCCGGAAGGTTTTCAAATACAAATTCCTGGGCCATCCCAGGCCCACCTGAGTTAGACTGCTTTGGAAGGAGAGTCTGGGAGTCTACACCTTCCAAAGTTCCTCAAACAATGGGGATAGTTCGGGAACCATGGGCTCAGGAGGCACCAGGAAGAAATGCAAGACAAGGGGAGGCCAGGGACCCCTCAGACCTTGCACCGTGGCTGTGTGTGACTTTCTTGTTCCCATCCCAGCCGGCAACCCTCTTGGAACAGAATTTTTATCTCTTGCCTCCTTATAATCCCTACACGGTGTCAGCCACGTGTAATATGTGAATATGTAAAGTGAGCTGAATTGATTTTACAAATGTCTCCCCTGCTTACGTGTGTCCAGTTTTCAAGTTGGCGTTTTCAGAGGCCTGGCTCTTAGTGACCTGGTCTGTCCCTCAGAGTGAGGCCCAGGCCTACAACAGCTGAACAAGCAGTAGCCCAAGATTCAGGAGCTGGAGCTGGAAGAGCCCTTAGAAGTCCCCTAGTCCATCAGGTTCCAAACTGTTTCTTGGCATCTTAGGGTTCCCCAGCAGAACCTCAGGGACCAGGGAGAGGGACAAGCGGAGGCTGGATGGGAGGGTGCCTGTGGACAAGGAGGTGGTCACTGCCGCCTCCCTTTAGCCAGAGCAGGTCTGCTTCCTGTAATGATGGCCATAGCCTCTTACTTGGTTCTCCAGCTTCTGCCCTGGTCAACCCATTTTCCGTCCAGTGACCAGAGTGATTATTAAAAAAAAAAAAAAAACACAGGGCCAGTCACGCCGCTTCTGCTCAGGACCCTATGCGGGGTTCCCCTTTTACTCAGTGACATCTGCAGGCCCCACATGCTTCACCCTGCTGCCTCCTCGCCAGCATGCTGGCCTCCTCCACATCTCTCCCACACCTAGCACCTGGGCACTTCCTGTCCCTCTGCCCCAAGCACTCTTCCTAGATACCTACATCTGTCCTCATCCTGACCGTCCTATCCGAAACGGCGCCCTGTTCCATCCGCCTTTGGGCCCTCACTCTCCTCGTCGACTGTCTTCCCCGGCAGAGTACAGCTCCCCCACGGCATCTGAGCTCTGCTGCTCTGGGCCAGTAACTGAGGCCGGCTCTCCTCGGCCAGGGCGCCTCTTCCCTCTCTTTGGGGACTTCTGCTCTGGGGCCTGGGACCTGAGGACCCGAGTGACTGGATCCAAAACAGAGACGCAACTTGGCTCTGGAAGTGGGCTCTGGATGCTGGCGTTCAGAGAGGCCTGACGTCCTGGGTGGGGTAGAGGCAAAGTCTCACGACCCCAACAGTGTGGGGCGGGAAAGCCCTCCTGCCTGGACCACTGGTGCATTTTCAGAGGCGGCCGGAAAACCCTCCTGAAATTCACCTGAGCGACGACTAAAAGAGAACCAGGAGGCTGCATTTCCCCTCCCTCCTCCAGGCCCAGGGCTCTGCCAGGAGAACTATAGGGAGCCCAAGACCCTGAAGGGTGGGTCCTGGGGTCCTCTAGCTCCCACATATCTTGCTTTGACCAATGAGGTACGTTCCCAGAATTCAGGAACAGGCCATTTTCTGGGCCAAGGCTTTCCCGGGATATACCACCCTGGTGTGCTGCCAGCTCCTATGAAGAGCCGGACAGAAAACACTGGGCCTGTGAGCCACATGCAGCCTGGTCTCTGTCACCTACTCTTTGCTTTTTTTATTTTTCCAACCCTTTAAAAACACAAAAACCATTTGTAGCTCAGAGGCCTTCCAAGCAGGCTGAGGCAGCAAAGCACAGCCCCATGACCCAAATCTAGCCCAAGGCCTGTTTTTGTAAAATAAAGCTTGATTGAAACATAGACACATTAACCTGCTCATGTACGAGCAGTTGAGACAGAAACTATAAGGCCAATAAAGCCAAAAGTATTCACCAGCTGGCTCTTTATAGAAAACATTTGTCAAGCCCTGCTGCAAAGTAACAATGCAAACAACTCGCATGTATTCCAGTGTTCATTGTTTCACATGCGTTCATCTCCATTTCATACAGGAGACCTTTTTGGAGGTTAGTATTAGTCCCATTTCACATATGAGTAAGCATCCAGAAAAATGAAGGTCTGGTGGCACCAACCTGTAATCCCAGCACTCTGGGAGGCTGAGGTAGGAAGATTTTGATTTCACGTCCAGCCCAGGTACCTTTGCAACTTAGTACATCCCTGTGTCTCAAAATTTTTATTTGTTTGTTTGTTTATTTTATTTATTTTTTGGTACCAGGGATTGAACTCGGGTCCTTGCGCTTGCAAGGCAGGCCGGCCACCGAACCCCTGAGCTAAATTCCCAGTCCCTGTTTGCTTGTTTAAAGAGCCAGGGATATCACCTAGCACAAAGGCCCTAGGTTCAGTCCCTAGTGTGAGAGAGAAAGCGGGGGAGGCTTGCCTGAGGGTACACAGCTAGTGAGTGGCAGATTCGGAGCCCAGGCCGAGACCTCTGACCTCTGTGACCAGGTTGACGTGCTCCTGAAGCAGGCAGTCCTGACTTCTGGAATGTACTTCCTGTTCTACTCCATCAGGAGAGGCAGCCCCAGGTGCCTAGGTGCCAGGTCCGAGAGAAGCACAGCAAGAAACCGGCCTCATATTGCACGGTAACAAGATTCTCCTGAAATCCTGCTGCACGGGGAGCATCACCAAGGGCTTTGGTGCCCAGGAGAGGAGGCTGGCTGGCTGGCTGGCTCCTGTAACAGGTAGTCAGGTCTCTGCGGAGAGCCGCTGAGCTGCAGCAGTCTTCCCAAGGAGGCCCAGGACGGCCTTTTCCTCTAGAACCCAGGAGGTGGTGCCATGATTTGTGTGACAGAGACCCCCAGTGGACATTGGTGGTATTGCCATTCCTAAGAGCAGCTCTGTGAACAGCCTCAGGCTCCCAGGGAAATCCAGAGGCTGGGGTGTTCCAAGCTATCCTTGTCTTTGCATAGCTGCCCCAGTACTCAAAGCTACAGGAGAGTCCTCCGCTTCCAAACTCGCCCTGACGGATGCCCATGCATGCTCTAACAGCGCTGCTGAGTCCCAGGTCCCACTTGGACTGCTCCTTTGGCCTCTGCTTGTTGGACTCATGCACTTTCAGAGTCCTGCTGTGGGGCAGATCTAACCTCCCATGACAGCTTGGCCTCTGTGGATCTTTACTTTGGTTGCCTTCGGTTCAGCTTTGCTCTGGCGCTTGTGTTCCACAGTGTGGTCAGTTTGAGTTGTTATTATCAGTAGGATCTTAGTTTTTGAATTGGATATGAACATTATAAATTAGGACCCTCAACATCTCTGGAAAATCAAACCACGTATTTGTTTTGAGTTCTTGTGCTAAGTTCTCAGTGGCCAATGGCCTGAATTGCTGCTCTCCTGGGATGGGCAGGGGTCCTCCAGTTTGCCACAGTCCCTAGCACTCCCTAGTGCCTCTCCACCTGCCCTGGTATCTGATTATGCTGTCTTCCGGTTCCTAGAGAAGCTCTGTAGTTATGTCACACATACAAAATAATTGCCACAACGATAGCTGCTGCCACAGGTAGTAGAGCTGTGCAAAGTCCAGCATGTACGTTTTCTTATTCCATCCACTGAGATATCAATGTCATTATTCCCACTTTACAGATATGGAAACTCTGTGTCAGGAGCAGTAAGCAACTTGCCCAGGATCAAACAGCATCGGCTCCTCACTGCTTTGGCCGGGCAGGCAGGCCTGGATTTAACACCCAAGAGAGGGGAAACTCAAGTTGTTTCAACAGAAGATGCCTTTCTGAGTCACAAGGGTGGAGCTGACCTTGTCCTCTGTGAAGCTTTGCCCTGACCTTGTCCCTTGCCTGGAAATCTCCCCCGCCCTGCCTCAGCCAGTGATGGATTCGTCGGCCTTCGCACCTCGGTTCAGCTACAGCTTCGTGGAAACGCATCCCTGACACACACCTCGCTCAAACCCTGGTGAGAGACACAGCCAGCACGCCGGCCTCTGCACAGAGTACTCCTCTGGGCTGGCGTCCTGCACTCGTGTGATGAACACACGGCTTCATCGGGCGCAGAGCTCCAAGGGGGCCTGCCAATGAGCGTGTGCCGCTGTTCACCTGTACCCCTAGTGCCCGGATGCTAAGTTTGTGTTTGTTGAAGGAAAGTGGGCAGGGGTGGAAGAAGGGAAGTAAGGAAGTTCTGCTCCAGATGGTTCCCAAATTACAATGATTCAACTTGTGAGTGTCTGACTTTGCAGTGGTGCAAAAGCAGAATCATTCAGCAGCAACTGTGTGTTAAGTTTGCTGTTTTCCTAGGCCGGCGATACAGGGTAGGATGCCCTCTCCTGGCCACAGCCCTGTCACCCATGCATCACAAGGGAAAACAACTGACACGCTTGCTCTGTGTGGCTAAGCTGTGATGCTCAGAAAGTTAAAGTCATTCAGTACTTAATCAACTTGGGACATTTCCAACTTCCAACGGTTCTGTTGGGTGTAACCCCATTATAAGTCAGGTGACAGTGTACAGCTGAAATGGAGACAGCCTAAAGTTTGTCCCCAAAGACACGATGCTTAGTGACACACCAGAAAGCTGGTCCCCAGTGTCTGGGGAAACGCATTTGCTTTGTTCCCTATCACCTTCCTTCTGGGCCTCGGCTGGCCTCTGTGGGCTGTAATGAACGGCCACACCTTGAAAAGGATGATGCTTTTGGACACATGCCCAGTCCAGCTCCAGACAGAGGCGGTGCAGAATGCTTGAGCTGCGGCAGTGTCACTTTGCCACCCATAGGACAGAGTGATGCCGGGTGTACTGAGCAGGTCTCAGGGTCACCGAAAGATGACTTCAACTCGGAGCCATCCGGGTGGGTCTCCGGGGCCCCTGTGGCTGGGCTCGGCAGGCATGGGAGATCTCCTGCTAGAAGAGGTCACCACCCACTGTGAAAACCTCTTGAGGATGCTGTGACAGCTACTGTGAGTGAAAAACACCCGGCTCAAGTGGCCCGGCATAGTTCTGGGTGTGGAAGAGCCGCGCTAGGGAGGGTCATTGCCAGACTGGCATAAAAGGGAAATGGAGAAAGAAGGAAAGTTTCTGTATTTTCTGAGGTGCTCCAGTCTTCCCCTTCACCTTGGACATCATCTCCTGTCTTCCATCACAGGCCCTTTGGCCTCCAGATGGGCTCACACAGAGCGCACACTGAGCTCCAGGCCTTCAGCACTCTCCAGCGCAGACAGACCTTCTGCATTCTTCTATACCTGACCAGGTGGGTGGCCACTGTAAGCCAATCTTGTAAATGTTTATATATTTGTAGATCATGCATGAAATCTTTTTCTCTAGTAAGCGCTGACTGATGCACTATTTGGTGGGTTGATATGTGAGACCCCCCAAAGAGATGCAAAGTATTTTCCCCATTTTACCGATGCGGAGACTGAGGTCCAGAGACTGAACTGTCCGTTGTCAGTGACAGAATTGGTTTTAAACCCAGGTATGTCCAGTGCTGACCAATGTTTTATTCTTCCATGCAGCACAGCCTCAGAGGAGAACAGAACATGCAGGCACCTTACGTGGAATGTGAAAAGCCGAGGAGAACACAGGAAGGTCTAGAAAGAGTTGGGATAGACAGTGATGGCTGAGGGTCTAGTAGAAGGCTGGTGGCCCAGTAGCTGGGGAAGAGCAGCAGCCGGGGCACAGGAATCACAAAGGGCAGGAACCACCAGCCGGACCAGAGAGTGGCTGGCCCAGGGGAGAGGTGAGGGTCCAACCTTGGCAGAAAAGAACCCGGCTTAGAACACTGCAAAAATTCAATGCACAATGTTAATTCTCAAGATTGTGACCTTTCCATTCTGCTCCATTTTTAAATAAAAGGCTTTATTTCCACAGAGGCATGACTTTTCTTCACAAGTAGATGTCCTTTATCAGGAAGAGAAGAGTGGGTCCGGTGAACCAGGGGTACAGCTCAAAGAAAGTGCAGTGATGACCCCCAACCTTAATGTTGGATTACTGCTTCAGCTTGGAAACAAAGAACTGAGGGCTGAACCGTAGCCTGCTGGATTTAATCCAGGTGGCCCTTCCCGGCTTCACACCCCTGGTCAGGGCAGAGGGTGTGGTCGGAAACACACAGGGGGAGCCCTGCTGTATGACAGAGTCACGCCCGACACACCCTATATTCCCAGGGGATGAGTGCAAGGGCTCCCTCACCCTGCGTGCGGGTTGGGATGAACCAGCATCGCTGCACCTCTAGACAAGGGCTCTCGATTGCTGGCCAGCAGAGCGGGTATACCATCAACACTCCAGTTCTTCGCAGAGACTCACTCTCCCCTGGTGCCTGTGTTTGCCAGTACTTCCTCTTGCCCCTGCAAGGTGAGCAGAGTGAACGGATTATGCATTGGGAACCTTCTGGCTTGAGGGTGTGGGGTCCCAGTCTCTGCAGACCCTCCCCTCCCTGTCTCTGGGCTTCCCCCGAGTGGCTTCCCTGGGCCTGTTCACCTTTGGTCCTAAGAGGCTCTTGGGTGAAGAGGCAGAGGACGAGATGGCAGCGAGAGTCGGTGCATTTGGGAATTCAGTGACGATAACAAGGCCCTTGGTTCTCTGTTTCTCTTGGAAATGTACCAGTGACGGTGACAGTTTCTTAAATGCACTCACCCTTAAATTTGCTGTGACAGTTATTTCACCACGCTCACCAGCCAAGGGTGTGGTGTGACACATCAGTGTGGGTGAGTCACTTTGTCTGGCTGGGGTCACATCCCAGGCAGCGTTGTGTAGCCTCTTCCACCCTCCCTGCCCCGCTCAGGGTGTGAAGGGCCTTACAGAGCTGAAACCTTCCCTTGTGGCTCCCACAACCACCCAGGAAAGTGCCACCCCCAGATCCTGTTCTCTTACCACTTCCCTCTTAACCCCACCAAGCCAGGTTAGAACCCACTCCTGGCCAGAGCTCTCTCCATGCCGACTTAGTTAGTCCTTGTTGCCTACTCCTGGACAGTTCTGGGGCCAGGCTGCCTATCAGCAAGGAGCCTAGAGTCAGGCAGCCTGGAGCCAAATGCTGGTTCTGTCACTAACCAGCAATTCAGCCTTAACCTTGTAAGGATCTCTGCTTCTCTGCCTGTATAATGGGACTAGGATGACTGCCTACCCCTGGGAAGGGTGAGGTGCAGCAGGAAACTTGCAGCCTGGAGCCTCATACATAGTAAGTGCTACATAAGTGGATGGATTTGTGTGTGTGTGTGCGTGTGTGTGGTGTGTGTACGCCCCTCCAGAACACAACTTTTCGTTGCTGTGTTTTTTAAATTCACTACATAGAATTGAACCCAGGGGCTTGCATGTACTAGGAAATTGCTCTACCCCTGAGCTACATCCTCAGTCCTCTGAAAATTGTTTTGCTGTAAGATAGGTTCTCACTACACTGTCCAGATTGGCTTTGATTCTGCCTCAGTCTTCCAAGTAGCTTTGAACTGGGCATTTGCCCCAGCACCCAGCTCTGTTTCATACATTTTCACCACGTCCCTTTTCATGCACCACAGGGCATCATTTCTGTCTTCTCCGCCATTCTAGTTTTCTGTTTTATCCCTCCTTCTGCTTTTGGTCTACTAACCTCTTCTTCAAGACCATTTTGTTATAGCTTTTTGAAGCTTTCATTTAACCTGTTCAAGTAGTTTATGATAGACACATCAAAGTATCAATATTTATAACATTTTCAATCTTACCCGATGTGGCAGAGAACGGAAGCTGATGGCCTAATGCAAAATTTAATTAAAGCATGAATCATTTAAGAAAACAGAAAAATGAGCAAAATATACAAGTAGTGATTCACAATGAGGAAGATCAGATGATAAGAAGAAGAAAAAAGGTTTCAGACAAGTAATCTGGACAGTGCAAATTTAAGTCGATGTAAGTAGCAATGAGACATTTCTGTACCAAAATGTCAACCTTTTTGGAAAACTATCTGACAACATCTTTCTTTTTCAATGTGACACATCCAACCCAGGGCCTTGCACACACCCAGACAAGTGCTCTCCTGTTGATCTGCACCCCCAGCCCAGTGAAAATTAAAATTAAAAACATATACACCTTTGACATAACATTTCCACATGTGGGGGTCTACCACCTAGCAGTAACAGTACCGGCATGGATGGCTCTATGTGAGAGGCTTGATGCACTGTTGTTCATTATGGGAGACAGACCAAACCTAGTGGGAGAACAAAGCAAATGTCTTTCAAGAGCAAAATGGTTGGGATGGGAAAAAAAAGCAAAAGCAAGATGTAGCATGTACAGGTGCAAATTCTCTGTGATGAACATCTTAGTCACTTTTCTCTCATTGCTGAGGCAAAACACCCAACACCCAAAGCTAAAGGGGGAAGAGTTTGTTTGGCTCACAGTTTGTAGAGGTCTCAGTCCATAATCTGCTGGCTCCAAGGCAGAGTGGATGGTAAATGAGCACCACAGGGGAGAAACAGCAAAGCACCCACAAGGTGCCCAAAGTAACAAGGGACCTTAACAGCATCTCTCTGCCCCTTTCATCCCATCCAGACTACCGGGATGAGGGCGGTGCCAAACCAGTCACTCACCTGTAGTGGTTTTAGTAACCGCACGCCCTCAACCCCGCATCACACATTCCGGACTCAGCCACCTCTGACAAAGAAAGTGCTACTTCATCTGCATGAGGCTTTGGGGGGACAGCTAGACACACGCCGTAACTATGAATGTTATCGTTATGCATTTCTAAAATGTACCCATAAATGTTTGGCTTCAAAAGACAAAAGCAAAATGGTTGAATATTGTATGACATGCTAGGGATTATTCTGCAGCCATGAAAAATGGTGAGTTGGATATAGATCAGGTAACTCACGGACCTACCGAAGTGTAGAAATTTGGGTCTACAATTATTTCATTTTTAAGAAGCAGTTAATGCCACCCTTAGCCCTCGTAGTTACGTGAGTCAGCACCAGTAGATGACAATCATGTTGTCACTGTGGATGTTACTGGCTGGATGTGGGAGGAGGAGTGAGGGAGGAAATGGCAGAGGACCCAGGCAGAAGAAGACTACATTGAAATTACAACAACATATGCAGTTTGATCACATTTATGCAGTGATGTAAAAGGGCGTGTATCCGAGTAGACATGTTTAAACTAAATATTTAAATATTTTTCTTAACCTAAAACACAGCAATGTACATTTCTGGAGCTAAAGTCTTTCCCCTGAGAACTTGTCTATTTTGGAATTTTTCCTCATCCTGCCTTTCTCACAAAAATCACATCCTTGGTGTTTTGTCTCAGTTTACACATACAGCTTCTGTAGAGCAGAGCATGAATTCAAAGACTCTTGAAAGCAAGGCTAGCACAGGAGCATTTTAGATGCTGTTTCCTTCCTCATCTTTTTGGTTATCTTGTCTAAATGCAACTCAACAATAATCTTATTTTAGCATGTCTCCTTCATTCAGGGAGTCTGAAGCTGTCAGCTTGATTCTTATAGAAGCCATGAGTCCTTTTCTTTTGCATTCACATTTCACCAGTTTCCATGACAGTGACGAAAGGACTGCTAGCACGAAAGAGGCTTGGGAACAAACACTGCTCGTAGAGGCGACATTCACACAGCGGGGAGAAGCCTCTGCTGTATGTGACACACAGGGAGGTGTGAACCCCTCCTGGCCTGCGTGTTCAGTGCACCCAGAGCAAGCAGTGCTCGCCGATGTGTATCCCAGGGAGAATACTCAGGGTCTGCTTCCGAGAAGTAGAATTTTACTGGTAACACTTACGTGGCATGAGTTTGTGAGTCACACACCATACCCGGCTCTTGGACTACGTTATTCTGCCGTTTGTTCAGTAGGTAAAATATCTAGGGTTGCGAGTGAGTGCGTGGGGACTATAGTCTGCGTCATGAGTGTCCTTCAAAGCCTCGTGTGCTAAAGGTGGGTACTAGAGGGCGGTGGTGAAACCTTTCGGAGGTGGAACCTGGAGAAAGGAAGCTAGGTTATTGGGGCCTGCCCTTGAGCGGGGAGCTGGGATCAGCCCCTTCCTGTCTCTCTTTCTGCATCCCAGTTGCCTGGGAGTCACAAGTAGCCTAGTAATACGCTTTTGGTGAAGGCAGATATGGAAACTGTTCAGGCACTGGGGACATCTGTTCTTCATATTTACAGCCTGTTTGGTGATCCTTGGGACCTGAACTTTTACAGCCTATAAAAGTTGTACAGCCCGCTCAGTGTCCTTTGAGACGTAGGCGGGGAAATTTTTCATCACCAGGAAAGAACAGGCTGGAAATGGGTACTGAGTTTTTCGAGGTCTGTGGCTGACCCCAGATGTTTAGGGGACAGAGAAAGGCTCGAGAAGGTATCAGCATAATTATTATCCACACCAGAGAAAGCTCCTTTCCTATCCTGGAAACTCCACCACCTCTATGTGCAAGGAGGTCGCATCCCAGAGGAAGGAGTGCTCGACAGATCCTGGCTTGGTGGCCAGAGTTAACTGTGTTGAAGCCAGCCCTAGAGATAGGGAAGCCGTGGAACAGGTCCCAGGAGCATTACACGGTGCCCCCAGGCCTTCAAGTGCCCTGCAGCCAAGGATTCACCAGGCCTCAAGGGAAGGCACACTCTGGAGGAAACTGGGACGTGAAACAACCCCATACAAGAAGGAAAAACAAATGATTTTGTGTGTCTTTTCAAATGTCTAAAGTTGCAAACTTCATTTTCATCTTCAAAGCATTTTCTGCCCTTTGAAAAACATAAGTTTGAAAACTAATTTTCCTAAGAAGCACATCTACCTTTTTAAAACAGCAAAGCTCATGTTACAGTGATGACTAATACTGGAAATAGGCTGTATCAAAAAATACAGTCAGCTGAGCTGATTAACATAGAGATGCGGTTTTTCCTCCTGTACAGATTTATTTGCAATTTTCCTACTTGCTAAAATGTATTCGAAACCTCAAATCAATATTCACAGCAATTCTTCTCAGACAGGAACACAGCGATAGAAAATCTGAGTCCCCAATGATGCCTTCAAGCTAAGGTGGGACACCAGGAAATTCTACCTTCTTGGTTCAGCTGTTACACTCATAACAAGTGTCCTATTTGCAGTGCCATGCTTTTTTTTTAATTTTTATGATTTTGAGGGTTTAGCATCATTTTTTTTCCAGTACCAGGGATCAAACTCAGACCTTGAGCTTACAAGGCAGGCATGGTGCCACTGAGCTAAATCCCCAGCCTTGATTGTATCATTTTTATAGGCCTGCGGCATAGCAGTGAGGCAGCACCTGTTGCTTCCTGTAAGAAGGCTGTATATGTGCCACACAGAAAATGAACATGCTACTTAGACTAGCTTCAGCCCTGTGTTACAGTGTAGCTGGCTGTGAGTTCAAGGTTAATCAACAATGTAAATTTACAAGTCATTAAATAGGTAAATGCACAAAACAAGGCTGTGGATTGAGGGGTTAATGAAAATGTTTTTGACCATAGGTTCCCAAGAACCCCACCTTGGATTCCGGAAGGAACAGTGGTTCCCAGGTTGCTAATTCAGTGTTCACAATGATTTCATAGCATGCAACCACCCTGAATAACAAGAACGGAGTACGTTTCCAAACACACGTAGAAGTCTGATGTGTATGGGCTTTGTGTTATTTATTAAAAGAAGCAAATCTTCTACTATACGGTTTGTTTCTAGTCCACCCAATACTGCCCTGGAAGCCTGCTGTGGCAGCCCGTATTTGGCAGGGTCTTTTGTCAGTCATCTGTAGCAAGCTTTGGCCATATTTATCACAAAGCAGCTAGGCACAGTGCTCATCGTGTGCCTACCGCCTCACTGAGTAATTTACAATGTTGGGCAAATGCTTCAGCCATTCAGAGCCCCAGTCTTCTCACGAGATAACAAATGGAATTAGTAAGGAATACCTGTCACATAGGCTGGCTGTAAGAATTAACTGAGTCAATGCACTTAAGAACAGCTGTTGTCTCCAGTTGTTGGGCATTGGTCTGTTTCCAAGTTTTAGCTATTACAAACTGTGCTGCTATGAATATGGGTGCACATATATCACTGTGGTATGATTCTTTTAATTCTTTTGGGAAAATACCCAGTAGAGACTGGATAAAGAAAATGTGGGCTTTTTCATAAAGTGGAGTACTACTCAGCCATAAAGAATGAGAAGTTAGACACACTTATAGCTGCATGGATGCACACTGAGGCCGTACTCTTAAGTGAAATAAACACACGTGTAAATACTGAATAGTTTCTCTGGTGTGAGAATCTGAAAGTATAAATAAGGATCTAAAGGAATAATGGATAAAGTGAAATAGGATGAAAAGGTCCAAAGGGGAAGGGGAAGTGAGAGGGGTTGGGGAAGGAAAGAAGGGAATGGAATTAATATGAGAAAAGGAAAAAATGGAAACAAAGTCTTTGTAAATAAGGAGGGGTCGAAGGGTTGAAGGGAGGGCAGGGGAATGGGGAAAAAACAAGAACCATGATATATCATGTACAAGTACAAATTTCCAATGATGAATGTCATTATATTGTATACCTGAAATGGACCAATAAAACTAATTTTAAAAAAGATTTTTTAAAAAGAATAGCTGTTTTCTACTGTCATTCTGCCAATAACCTAGGGGATAGATGCTGTTGGTAGCTCTACTAATGTCCTGTTGACTCAGTAACTTCATTTCTAGGATGTTATTCTGGGAAACTGTCAGCGATATATACTTGCTTCCTCCCTAAATATCACAGCCTTACTTAAAACACCAAACAAAAACAAACATTATTCTTTGGTAACAGAAACTCTTCATTATTTATTTTATTTTTATTTTTATTTAGTTATATTTATATTTTATTTTATTTTGAGACACGGTCTTATTTTTAGTGCAGGCTGGGCTTGAACTTACTATGTACCACAGTAAAGGAAACTCCATGAGTACTTCTTGGGCTGCCGTGCTGCTCCGCACTCCTGCCCTGGACTCATCCGGCAGAGTACAATTAGATGTCAGAGATGGAAGAGCCCTGGCAGGACAAGAGTACGGTTGGACCCCTCATGGGCAGGTTTGTAATAGCTCCCCACTTCCTTATAGGAAGATTGAGTGGACGTCACCTTGAGCAGCCAGAGCAGAGCCACTCCCACCCCCCCAAATACAGCAGAGCAGGCTCAGGCCCCGAGGTACCAGTCCTCAACTCCTAAGCTCCGAAGGCTCTGACAGCCAAAACATTTTTCACAAGTTGGTTACAAAGTTACTGAGATGCAAATCCTGATCCAAAACACCTGACCTGACCTGAAACCTCAGTGCCAATTAGTACATCTTATTAGTCATTTGTTTATTAATTCAGATACCTTTTTATACCTCACTTTCCCCCTAGCAACTGATCATCAGAGACTCAGGCAAAGCATGCAAAAAAATTGTTTTACCTACTATGCAACAACAGTATCCTTTGGATATATTGTAAACATTTATAAAGCTTATATAGAAATGCATACGTTCTGATACATTTTAAACATCTCCTAACATGGCATTAAATTAAGGTTCACCAAGATAGTGGAATACTATGCTGTCATCAAATGATATTTTCTAAGACAAAGGAATGCTCAAGTTCCAATTAATAACCTAAAAGTTAAAATGCATGGCTGTATCCCCCAGTCTTCTCCTGAGTTCCTTCTTGCTCAGGTATAACGCTGGTAGCTTGCCCTGTTACAGACCAGATTCATACACAGTGACTTTCCTTTTCTACTCAGGGCTGTCGCGGGTTGGAAGCTTAACCTGGTTCGCATAACTCCTTATGTGCTGCCTTCAAGCTTTCTCTAACTAGAGAACGTGTCATCATTTCCCAAGCATGGGGTACCTTTCTCTGAGGAGATCCTTGGCGGCAGGCCAACACATCTGGGGGAGAAGGAGGTGCGCTCATCGATGCCACACTGAAAAGCCCCACTTCATCCCCCAACCTCCTCCAGGGACTTCCAGAGAAGCCCTTGTGTCCCCAGACATGGCAGAAATGCCTCCTCTCCACGTTGGCCTCCTGCCTGTATAGCTAGGAAGCTGAGCTTTCTATTACCTTAGCATTTCTTAAACTTTAACGTGCCTGACTCACCAGGGTGCCTGTAAAAATACAGATTCCTGGGCCCCACCAACCCAAGTGGGGCTGACATGGGTGACCCAGGTGTTCTACTGGATGCTAGTTTAATGATCTAGTTCAGCCAATGTCTGGTCCTTCATTCAACATGTTGTGAACGCCACAGAGGGCATCATGAGGCCCCTCAGACTGTGGATTTTTGAAGAACAGAGACCTCGTACTCACGGTTGTGAGTACGATACGAGTCACATGGCTCTTCAATAAGTACTGTGGGACAGATGGAGGAATGAAGACTTTCTCTACTCTCTAGAAGAGCAGATTCCTCAGCAGTTCATCTCTCAGAGGAATGTCTGAGTTTACACCCCAGCTCCGTACTAAGAGGAATTCGAGTTTGGAGAGCATACTTAATCTCCCTGAGTCAAGATTTCTGCGCTTTGAGGAAACAAATGGATCGCGGTAAGGAAGAAACAAGCGGACATAGAGATAATCATCAGTGCGTGAACGAGCACACAGCACACGGAGTAACTGCTTAACGGCCCCAGCTGTGACAGAGCACGAGGCTCCTTGCCGTGACTGATCCACTCCAGGGAACCAGAGCGCCCCAGAAGGGCAGGTGACGGGATGAGGAGTCGCAGACCACGAGTTGGAGGTTTAAAACATAGCCCTGGCTCGCTGTGCGAACTTGGGCCCCAGTTTTTGTTCTGTTTTGTTTTTACAAGCTGGGAGACTTGTAAAAAAATCATCCAGTGCAGGCCCCTGGTGCTACCAACAGAGAAACCCAGTCCCAAATCTGTTTTGTTTTCCTCTCTGAAAGGGAATGCTTGGTAAGGTCATCGTAATGATCGAATAGAACGGGAAAATAATTTGAGGGGAAACGCTTGTGGGAGGGCTAGGATTATCTTCTATGCTGTTAGAACCCCTTAATTATGCAGAAACACTCTCCTGCTGCCTCCTTACACCCTAGTGCCAGGTGGCACACCCAGGGGCCCATCCAACGCCCCTGGATGCCTGCTAACCTCCTCAGCATCCGCAGTTTCCAGACCTCAGGTCTTCCCCATCTATGTTTCTCCTATCCATGGGATTTACTACACTTTATCTACCTTAAGCAGTATTAAACTGGCAAGAAATATGACTATTTCATCCCTAAGATAATTAGTTGATTTATAATTAGTGCATTTAGCTCACTGCCGTGAGAAATGACAATTTCTCATGTATCTCTGATGACATTCTATGAAAGTAGCTGAAAATACATCCTGTTAAGCAAACCTTCCTCTAGAGAGTACTCTCCAATCACATAAAAAGAGAACCCAAGGGTCAAAAAGAGAGGGGCTGAGGGTATCATGAACACTGGGACGAGCTTTATATTCGTCTTCACTGGCTGGGGTCAAATGGAAAATGAGGGGTCACCTGCCCCAGTGTCTCTGAAGCACAGTGGAAGGTGGGAAAGCCACGGCCTCTATTCTTTCCCATTCTGCAACTGTCTTCTTTTGTTTTTTCACGTGACCTCTTTAGATGCCATTTAACTTCATGTCTGTAATGTTACTTCCTTTTTCAGTACTGAGCAATGAATCCAGGGCTTCACGCATGCTAGAACATTCTCTACTGGTGAAATACATCTGCAGTACTTTTTTCTTTGTTTTGTTTTTATTTTGAGACAAAGTCTCACTCAGTTGCCCAGGCTGGCCTCAGCCTTGCCATGGGGGTTACGGGTGTGTGCACCTGAAGCCAGCCCTGGGATGCTACATTCTTACATTCCCAATAGCAGTAGGGAATCACAGCTGATGAAACCTAAGACAAGAAATATATTGATCAGGAAAAAAAAAGTCTCCTTTACAGATAACAGAAAACCACCCTCCAAGATGTTCTTTGATGAAAACAAGTTAAACGCAGTGGCAGGAATTACTCACCAGGTGCTTTTTTGTGACAGACTGATAAATGGCTGACAGGGAGAACAGGAAGCTGAGAACATGTTGACGTGTAGAGCTTACTTTTTAATAGGGAACTGAGGCCCACGCAAGTCAAAGAAATGGATTTGACATCTGAGGAGCTCTAAGTGCATGCTGGGAATGGCAAGGCATGATGGGATATGGCAGCAGTAAAACAGGGGCTGCTCCAAGCCCTCTGGGGTCCCTCTCCTGGAGAAGACCCAGAGCAGCCTCTATAGGAGGGGCTGCAGTAGGGGAGACACCTCACCAGGGCCTCTCTCTGAATGTCAGGCTGAACTGACAAGGACACACAGAAGCCCAGAGGAATAAAGAGTAAGTCCGCCTTGGCCTAGGTGAGCAGGTGGGGACAGGAGGAGAGACACTCTATAGGTGTAGGAGCAGCACCTCCAAGGATGCCCTGATCAGATGGGTGGAAAGCTCAGTGTGCTGGACACCTGGGATGAAGCGAGCAAGGGACACTGGTGGGAGTGAGGGGGACGGGAGTCCATCACAGTCCTGGGCCTCTGGGGAGGGAGGGTCAGGTGGATACTGAGGAGCTGATCCTCCCAGCAAGGAGAAGCCACAGAAGATGAGCGGATGACGCTTTGCTGCGTGTGTGGTGCTGAGGCTGGAGCCCAGGGCCTCACTCGTGCAAGACAAGCCCTCTACCACAAAGCCATACCTCTCGCCTGGCATGAGGGAGGTTTCTGCAGGCTGAGTGGAGAGTGGTCGACAGAGACAAGCACAGAAGCAGCTGGAGGAAGTCAGTATCATCATCACGAGAGAGCCGTGACTCTACCAGACCAAGGCGCTGGCAGAGGGTGCAGGCAAGTGGACAGACCCAGCATATATTGGAGAGGTAAAAGCAGCAGGACTTAGTGACTAGAGGCAGGGGAGGAGTCTTTGGTGTCAGATCTCAGTCTTGGCTGGCAGAGAGGTGTCGCTAATTGAGATCACAATGACTTGGGATGTGCTGGATACTCCCAAACTGGTTTAAAACACGTATTGTTCTAGACTACACTCTCTTGTTATGAGAAAGAGCAGCGTTCTAGGGTTACCATAATGATAAACGAAAACTTGACTGACACGTTTGTCTAGTCACAGTCCAGGTAAATGAAAGAATAAGAGGAGAAATCGAGAACATTTCCTAGACTGATTGTAGGCAACTATATTCAGTAGTTTCAGGTAAGAAGGTAATATCCCTCATTTGCCTATTTGCAGGCTTTTAGAACCCATCTTCCTTAGAGAGAGAGAGAGAACTGGCCCTAAAAAATGCACCTGAATCCTTCCCTTGCTTTGCTAGACACGGACTGTCTCAATCAAGCACAGAGGAAGACAGACAGGTGAGAAGTGCATGTACCCACGACAGGAATGGCTCGAAAACGCCATCTAAACAAATCAATGTGTGAGGGGGTACATGGTGGGTGGGCAGTGATGGAGGGTGTGAGTTCACTGCCTGGAAGGGCTGTACGAAGGTGACATCTGGGACCAAGTAGGAGCCCTCGTACCCGGGCTTGAGGAGACTAAGAAAGGAGCCAGGAATGGAACTGCGGCACAGAGAAGCAACGAGAGACACAGGGGAGACGGCCGCTCAGAAACAGTATCAGGGCAACTTCGAGGTGGGACAGATGCTAGAAATTGTTCGGCCAACTGACCTCCATTTCACCGGGAAAGTGACAAGGCACCACGAAATGTGAAAGGCACTTTTACCAAATGCCTACTTTCTGCTGGTCATGCATTCATGGCCTCTTGCATCCTTTTTCAGCCCCTCTGCATCCTCGTGTACTGGTGTGAACCCTGTTTCGCAGGTGGGGAGACAGGCTGTACGAGGTGCACCGACCTCTCAGGCATCTCTCAGCAAGCTGATGGAATTATGGGGACCAGAAAGCACATTTCCAGCTTTGCGGTCAGAGGAGCACAGTCCCCTCGTTCATTCATGAAATATTCATTGAGCATCTGTTCTCTGTGGGGTTACTTTCTGTGAGGGGAGGTAGACTTTACATAAATAATCAGACACCTTGGGAGAGAGAGAACTTATACATGAGCATGTGTGGATGTCCAACTGCAACTGTGACCAGTGACCCCCACAACTGCAACTGAGTTGCAGCTCTCGGAGAGGGCAGTTTTGAAGACTTGGAGGCAGCGGGCACCTGCATGAGCAAGGTGGGGTGAGCAGGACTGGACACCCAGCACCCAAGGACTCCTAACAGACAAAATCATGGGCTTTGAGATAAGAAGGCCACTGAGGAGTTTTAAACAGGACAGTGACAAAACAAGATTAATTCTCCCTTTAAAAATTATATTTAAAAACACACCCAAATATATATAGAAAATATATATATATTGAGGAAACATATAGAGAGCCCCAAAAAATGTAATTCAGGAGAAGAAAAATAGCATGATGTTTTTTCTGCAGATGGTGTTACTGTCACACAGGGGACCCTAGAGGATGTCATATATTTCAGAAAGTCCACTACACTGCCGGCCCTCGGAGAAGAAACTGAAAATGTGCATGCGATAATTTCAATGGCCAAGGTTACCCAGGCAGCAGTTCAGTACTAATAAATGCCTGGAAGCTCATGGCCACTGCTTTGAGCACCTCTTGGCAGAGGCCAAAGGTACCTTGTGTTAGTCTCATGATGTCTCAATAAATTTAGTATTGAAATATTTATGAAAGCTTTTCTTTTTCTGAAGTGTGTATACATTTTTGGTTTTCTCTCTCTCTCTCTCTCTCTCTCTCTCTCTCTCTCTGTGTGTGTGTGTGTGTGTGTGTGTATATAATTTTAAAGGAATGCAGAATGGCCATATATGTGTTTTTGAATCATCTAAGCTAAGCTTTTTCTGGGGCAACTTTAATGCCTTGCCCTCTCCCCCCGACCCTTAAAACAACCACCAACTTTATAATCGACATTAACAACCCAGGAGACAGCCTTCGGTATTCTTTTGACTGCTCATACAGTCACAGAGACAGAAGTACATCGTATATAATACATATATAAAAATAAGATTGGCCACTTTAATTAAAACTATCTTATGCCACTTCTGTGTATCTTGATTTTCCTATCAATAATATCTCACTAAATCAACTGGTATACGTATACTTCATTTTTAATGACTGCACAATATTCCAGGGTGTGACTGAACCATGATCAATCCCCCATCCATGGTTGATGAACACTCCTGTTTCCCTAGCTTTTCCCACTGCAGTGTCCCAGCAAATAACTCATGATCCTTGTGTGGATGTCCTTCTGTGTTTATGGTTTCATATTTGCGGAACATTGTCCCAGGAATGAGAGTACCCATTAAATCAAAGGGCAAATAGATCTTTTATTTTCACGGAAGCTGCCACACTGCTTACAAAGAACACTTTTGCAATTTCCATTCCCATTAGTAATGCCTGATTCACATTTAATTTGTACTCCTACCAGCATTAGGTAATTTTTTTCACTTGAAGCTATTACATATCAAGTGACATTTCATTGTTTTTTTTAATTTACATTTTCATGGCCTTTAGAAATTTAAGCATTTTTTCTGTTTGTTGATGATCTGAATGTCCTTTTCTGAGAACTGTCTTTTCATATCCTTCGCCTGCCTCCCACACACACACACCCCACCAGTTTGCTTGTCTTTCTCTTGTCAAAGCCTTAGAGTTCATTCTATAGTTTTAAAAAAAAAATTGTTATCAGTATTTTGTATTTTTCAATTCTAGCCTTTGCCTACAGACTTTAATGGATATCTTCTATACCAAGGATATAAATTTTTACATAATCAAAAAGTCTATCTTTTTCTGGCTGTGGTGCAGAAGCCTGGTGGGAGGGGTTAGAATAGACAGTAACAGAACAGTGGGGAGGTGGCCCCAGGGCCTTGACGGCCAGGGATGGTGGCCTGGACAGGAGGCGGTGCGGTGCTAGAGAAAGTATTTGAACAGTTGTCCAGAAAGGAGGGTGACAGCATGGGGAACAGAGGAAGCTGTGCTCTGGCTTTCCCCTGGGGCACTGGAGATATCACTTCCTGTAACTGGAACAGAGCAGGCGGCTAGGCCTTCACTAGACCACGCTGTCACTTTGGGATATTGTTAGTGTGTGTCTTGTCACTTCCTCGTCTCCAAGACCTGGTACCACACATGCACAATTTGAAGGAAAAAGGTTTTACTGGGCTCATGGTCTGTAGGGGGTTTCAGTCCATAGATGGTCGGCTCCAGGGCAGAACTGCATGGGGGAATAGCATGGTCCAGGAAAGCTGATCGTGGCATGAACAAAGTACTTGTACAGTGTAGTTGTACAATATTTCTGCTTTCAGGCTCCATGTTGCCTTCAGATTTTACCAGTTAAGATTTTTTAAAAATCATTTGACAAAAAAAAAAAAAAGTTCTCTAAAATTGCAGAATAAAGAAATCTTGGTATTTTTCTCGGAACATGTAACATCACGTATGGTAATCGCATTGGTTTCATTCCAGTCCTGAGACATCAGGACTTGTTTTGAGACGAGTTTCTTCTCCAGCTGCGTGTTTGTGATCTCACCCTTGCTCCTCTCACTGCTCTGAGCGGCATATTTTAGGGTTAGCTTCACCCGGAGGTTCCAGAAAGTGTGGCCATCTGAGAAGCAAAGTCTATCTACACACAGGCACCTACATTTACAGGATAAAGAAGCCACCATCTCCTCGAATTTCTAGGCCAGTATTGACATCAAATAATCTGTGCTATGGAGTCCATTTAGTCAGTCCGGTCCTGGGGGTTGGATATATGCTCCCCGGGCATGTAGATAATACGGAAGAGGAACTAAGTCTTTTAACCTGAACAAGTTTGAGGCAGCTTGAGTTTTCACTCTAGCTCTTAATAAATCCAATCTAGTAAGCCCAAGGCCAGCTCAGCCTTATGATCATTTAACAGCAGCAGGAGCTCAAGCATTTACTATGTGCCAAGCACTTAGGCCAAGAGCTTCAGACGCATCAACTCGTTTGCTCCTCCACTCACCTCTGTGAGGTAGCCCTCGTTATACTTTTATTCATTCATCAAATGTCTGTGGAGGCCCTTCTGTGTTCCAGGCACTGTAACACACAGTCAGGGCCCAGCAGTGAACAAAGCCAACAAAGACCACACCCTCTTGCACTCTGCAGCAGGGAGCGGGGAACACAGTAATCAAGGTAGTAGGATCTCCTCTGAGGTGGACGGCGTTCAGTGCTGCTGAGAGAAATGAGCCATAGGGCACGGGATGACGCGTAGTACTAGTGATGAAGAGGATGTCTGTTGGCTGCAGGAGGCCATAAGGAGGTAAGTGAGCGGACTCTAGAAGATGTAAGGCCACGAGCCTGAGGGTATGTGGCAAAGTAGATCCCGAAGGTAAGAACAACCAGGTCCCAGAGGGGGAGAGTGGGCTCCTCTCATGAGGCCCTGAAACCGCTCACAGTCACCCAGCTAGGGAGGGGCAGAGTCAGTCCAAACTCAGGAATATCAGCGCTGGGGCATAAGCGGGGACCACGCCTCGTCTTTCCTTGCGGGTTCTGCCCTGAGACAGTGCCGTTGGTGATTTTGCTTTTCTCTGACGGATAAAGGCAGAAGTCTAGTGGTGTCAGCCACAGCGACACAGCTCCAGCCTTCCACCTCAGACGGCAACTGTGGCCATCTGTCTCCCAACAGGCACGCAGCCCTGGGGCCTGGCCCGGAGCCTTCCCGGAACCGCCACTCTCTGGCGGTCAGTCAGTCTCTGGCAGGGCTCATCTAGAATTGAGCTGCTGGTTCTCTACATCGACTTCTTGCCGCAGTTTCCTGTCCTTTGGATTCTAGGATGTTTCCCTCAGGATCTGTGAAATGTGTAGATGAAGTGTGTCTGGCCTGGACCGTGATGTGCCCCAGCGAGTAGTACACACCAGAGTCTGCAGGCTTAATGGGGAAAAGTAGAATATGATATTACCTAATATCCCTAATGTTTTTATGTTAACTACACACTGAAATGAAAATATTATGGCTATAGTAGGTTAAAGAAAATACAATCGCTTCCGTGTTCCACATTATTTTCCCATTTGGCAGCGGGACTCCAGCCTGTCCTTTCAAAAATACCTACATCCCATCGCACTCACAAGTCACATTTGCCTGTCACTCTTTTCTGCCTCAGACAGGGGGTATACAAAGACCTGTGCCATGCCTGGGGGAGTGAAGTCCTCGCTAGAGCTATTTAACGCTCTTGTGAGTCTTTTAAAACTCTACCCTCCAAGTCCGAGTCAAGGTATTTCCACACAGCATCGATCTTTTCTTTAAAATCCCTGCTATTTTGCAGATATTTTGTTCATAGCTGGGAAATTCTATTGCAACCAATTTAGGATGGTACAGCCTCATTAGTTTCTTACTAATTTAAATTCCTTATCATTTTCTGAACGTGTATATTAAACTTCCTTTTTTTCTTCACGCTTTTTACTGTTACATGGGGACATACATGTTCAAGAAATTAAAGACTACAGAGCTCCATAGGAACTCAGGATCTAATTTCCGTGGGTTATTTTGGGGAACATTATGAAAAAGAAGTGAAGGTCGTAAGTATCCAAAATGGGTTCATTTTTCTGAGAACAAGCGTATCAAAATAACCTGGATCCCTCCAGTGGACGTGTGCCTGGAAAAACGGATCAGGGTCACAAAGGTTGGACCTTCAAACTGCTGATCACAAGTAGGGTGAGAAACAGATAGGAATTTATTTCAGTAAGTCTATGCACGATGTCCTTACTGACATTGGTTGTAGTCTGAGCCTCCTGGCCTGTGGCTTTAGAGGTCACCAGCAGCAGATGAGAAAGGCAAGGCCAAAGAGCACAAAGGAAAGGAATTTTAAAGGGGCCAGGTCTAAGAAGTAACCCTAGGTCTGGGGACTTAGCTTGGAGGTTTCACCACCTGTCTTGCAAGGACCCGAATTCGATCCTTGGTACTAAAACACAAAAAAGTAATCCTGTGCCTATAAAGTAACGAACATACATTTATTTACCTCCAAGTTTAGTGGATAGGCACTGGAAACCATTTCCAAAGAGGAATACCTAAAGTACTTTATTTCTAGAGGCAGGCTCATTATCTTACAGTCATGCTTCAGTTTCAAATGTAAGCTTTTCTGGCAAAAGGGAAAAGGTTGTATCCTGGTTTTGCTGACAGCCTGGAGACGGAGGACTTGTGTTGTGACTGCAGAATCTGGGCGTTGCCCTCAAGTACGTGTTGCCCTCAAGTACGAGTTGCCAGTGAACTCGAAACTGTGAAAGGTTCAAAAAATTTTCTGTGCTAGGGAACAAGGAATCCAAGGTGGTAGTGGTGGTGGTGGGAGGGTGGGATCAAAGGCAGAAAATTCATGCAAAGGAGGGCTGATTTATATACACAAACTCTCTGCCTAAATAGAGACACCAACACCTAACCTCAAAGTCTGGATGAACCAAAGAAGTATTAGAATCAATACAGCATACTGCTAAATCTAAATCTTTAAAAAGTCCTTCTAGGTCACTGTGACTTGTATCTAGATGTCCCCTGCCAAGCCTCAAGC